GTCCGCTGTGACTGGCTACCTTCCTCCTGGCTGCATGCATCGAGGGATGCCATGCTGTCCTTTGGCTCTAGGTCCCCTCCTCCTCAGCACCTCGCTCCCGCTTTCCTCCTCCTGCCTTGTTGCACTCTGGGCTGTCCCGGCCTTTGAAGTGTCCATGGTGCTCTTTGGAGTGGAAGTGGGGCCGCCTCCAAGTATCTCGTCCAGCTCTTTGTAGAACTGGAAGGACGTGGGAGCACCACCAGAGCGGTGGTTTGCCTCCCACACTTTGTGGTAGGTGTTCCACATCTCCTTCACTTTAATCCTGCACTGCAGTGCATCCCAGTCATGGCCCCTTTCCATCCTGTCCCTTGATATCTACCCATAGGTATCGTAATTCCTACAGCTGGTGCACAGCTGGGACTGGACAGCTTCCTCCACCCAAACACTGATGAGGTCCAGCACCTCGCCATTGCTCCATACTGGGGATCACCTGGTGCATGGAGGCATGGTCACCTGGAAAGATGCACTGAGAGCACTCCATGCCGAGCTGAGCAAACAGGAAGGGGACTTTCAAAATTCCCAGAGAATTTAAAGGGCGGGTCTGATGGTTGGTCACCTGTGGGCAGGGCAGAAGACTTCAAGATGATGACCAGAGTGGCTAGAACGGGCAGTGTGGGACACTTCCTTCAGGCCGATCAGAGTGCATTAATAGACCAGGGTGTCCACTTTGTCACCGTGGTGCTCCAGACAGGTCGCAGCAAGCTGTATGCTTCTTGTGAAGGTGGTTTACCAGGAGTTCTCTAGCCGCGGAGTCCGGGTGCTCGACGTGCCTTGCCTGTGTGGACAGCTCAGGAGTTAGGGCACCCGGGGCTGATTTAATGTGCTCTAACTTACAAGTGTAGCCAAACCCTTAGATTAAAATAGCACCAATGACACAGCAACTCAACTTCTAATTTGGGTTAGCAGCTCAAGTGCAAGACTATAGGGGAATCTGGGGTTGAATTTGATCTATTCATCCAAGTTTCTTCACTGCTATTTTAACCCGCGTTAGCCAATGCAAGTTAGCTAACCCAAGTTAAGGACACACCTTTTTTTTGCAATGTAGACCTAACCTAAGTGGAAAAGCCCTCAGTCGGTAAGTCTCTAATGTTTTTTCGCTCCCTGCCCTCTGTAATTCAGAGATTTGTTTCATAACAACAATCTGTGCTACCACACAGTAACATCTATCATATGAATGAATAGAACATTGTATCAGAGGGGTAGCCGTGTTAGCCTGAATCTGTAAAAAGCAACAGAGGACCCTCTGTTGCTTAGAACATTGTAGTTAGATAATTTCCATGGCACATTCTCTAAAAAAGGTGCAATTCATACACCAACTATTGCAGACACAGTAAGCCATCAGAATACAGCTTTGCTAAGCCACTTGAACCAAGGTAAACCCACTAAACATCCCGATTAAACTATTCCAACTAAACACCCTGAATAATGTGCATTAACTAAGCATTATATATGTAAGTAAACCAGACCAAATCAAACTCATTTCCATGCCAGTTCACTTTTCCCCCCAAATTCTAATATCCTCATACAACCACAATCAGCATGGTAACTGAAAAACAAATACATTTGTATTTGCCCTCTGTCAGGCTCTATATTCTAACATTGATCAGAACACCAAGTTACTTTGCAGCAATTTACAATTAATGTAACTTTTTAAAATTCAAACTTTTTCAACTACTTAAGCTGTTTCACATTTCCTGAGGAGGAGGAAAAATGTTAGTATAATTAGCACCAAAGCAGAATTTAGAGTATGAAAGTACAATATGAACAGTAAAAATTGTTCACATTTTCCATTTCATAGCATATTCACTGGGCCAGAGAGACTTCTTCTGTAGAAAAGGAGAAAGGCTACAGGAAAATCCTCTAGGCTTTTCTTCCATAATTCCTATGCATCCATTTCTAATCTCAGGGAGTAAAGGAGAGGAGGTGCACCTGGGGTATTTAGTGCACCCTTAGACTCTCTGTGGAAACCAATTTCTAGCGCCAAATGCTCAGGGTCAACTACACATGCTTTTCTCCCTCCTTCCATGGTGCTTCCTGTATTTCACTCCCCATTGCAGCAGCATCACTTGAGGGAGTAAAAATGAACAAGAGTACTTGTGGCACCTTAGAGGCTGTAGCCCACGAAAGCTTATGCTCTAATAAATGTGTTAGTCTCTAAGGTGCCACAAGTACTCCTGTTCTTTTTGCGGATACAGACTAACACGGCTGCTACTCTGAAACTTGAGGGAGTGTTACTACTGCTATCCTTCTGTGCCTGTGCCCTTCTCAAACTAGTATATGGATGCAGTGAGGTGTGGAGGGAGAGTTAACGGTTCTGTGAAAAGTACCTACACCCCCAAGTGTATTTCAGTTAGAAAATGTACAATTTCCCAAGGGTAGCAGTCTATGGAGAGCAGCTGCTCATTGTTTCTGCCCAGTAGAATGCCTTGCATAATCTCTGGAGCTGACACCTTTTGGCACACTTGTTGAGGATTTTCTGTAAACTCTCTTGGATGAGGACAATGTAACAGGATGCTGTTGGAGGTTAGAAAACCATTAGCAATGAAGTAGGGAATATACCTGCAAAATGCAGAGGTCAGACTGATCATTCCAAGAGGTATTCCCCAGCCTTCTGAATCTATGGCAATCTTTGGTAAACATTAAGTAGTGTTTAGCTTGGTGGTGACTAGCCAACATCATCACACCATTTATGGAATGCCTCATTTGATCTGAATGCCGCCGGCTTACATGCAGCTCTCCTCAGCAGCAGTTTACTATAATAAAATAAATGAAGGAAGCTTTATAATTACATCAGCATGATATAAACATTAATTGCAGTTCCCGGTGTGAACATAAATAAAAGCAACTGCTATTTATTAAATTAATCCCACTCAAAAGGAAAACAATCATAACTCATACAGGCTCTCACATGATTATTATTTGTTTACAGGGAGACAGCAGAGTTTAGTGTGATGAAGGATCACAGTTAATACAGAAGATACATATGCATAAAACCAATACTTTGCATGCCACCTTTACTTCGCTACATACATGCGCTATACAGATGAATAGTCAACCACTACCAAGATATCCTCAGCCTACAGACATTCATAAAATGAAATTGTACTCAAAACTGATTAATGAAAAAAATCTCTTACAGAATGAGTATGAAGGAAATGGAATAGGGAAGGTGAGCCTGTAAATGACTATACTCAGCAATGTTTGATATTTTACTTCGTTAAACTATACACTTAGATTTGGGTTACCAGGGATTTTGTAAGTTTATTTTTACACCTTCTTTTTTTTTAAAAAAAGGACATTTTTTGAAAAGTTTAGTGGTACCTCTGATCAGCATTAACTGACTTAGCAATTGGGTATGACATTGGTCTCTACGTTACTTTCAATATATAATTTGTTACAGTAATAAGCAAATTAGATTTCAATGTACTTTAGCCTGCCTTTGAGATAGATAGTTTTATCCAAAATTAAATGAGCTGTAACTCTCCATACTCATTTTCACTTACTTTTACCTAATACATTACAATTTCAATATTTTTAAATAATTAATTGGGGAACCAGGTGGCTCATGGAATTGGTTATGGAATATAGTTTCTTGTGCTTCTATAATACAGATTGAAATTAATCTCATGTTAATAGTGACCATAAATTGTGATGATGACTTGGTGCCCGTATGCAAAATGCATTTGCAGTCTCCACTGTTCTAATAGCACATTTTCCCCTTTTTCATTACTGGTCATATAGAAAGTGAAACAAAAGTCTGGTTGTGATACATGACTTTATTTTCAAAAAGATAGAAGTTTGATTAAATAGTGCAACATATTCAACTATCTATGGAACATGATAATACAAGAAATACTTTAAAAATATCAGTTTGTAATTTACGGACAAATAACAAAGGCCAATTTATGCAATTCTTACGCAAACACCACTACCACAGGGGTTAATCCAAGTAAGGATTTAAAGATTTATGTTCATATTAAGTGAGATGAATTACACTAACATGTGACTAAGTGTACATATATTGTAATGCCTATGTATTTTGGATATTCAATTTAGCTATAGATCTATTATCACCTTAAGCATCTATACAAAACACAGAATCAATTATGAAAAACCAAATACAATTTCATTTAGGGGATGATTCTGCCTGGCTTTTACACACATGTGGATTGTAGGGGATTGTCCAAGGAGTCTTCACTCATCTTGCACAGTCCACATAAAGCCAGGAAAAATTGCAGTGCCACACTTCTCCCTGGGGAAGTGCGGAGAGCGCATGAAAGGTACTGGTTAAGAGACAGAGCCATAGTTGTGGCATTCCATGCACTGGCCAGAGGAGTAGATTGGGCACAAAATGGAGGGCAAGCCATACCTCATACGATGGGGTGAAGATAGTAGAAGTGCTGCCTTGGCATGCTTGGGAGCTCTGGGAAACAAAGTGCTTCCTATTGCTACGCTCTGAAACCAACCCAGGGCTTGCCTACCAGGCATGACTGATTGCTTCAGTAATCTCCACTTTGTATTTGTACCTTCTTGCTTTCTTTGACTAACTCCCTTTTGTTTCCTTCCCAAGCAATCCTGGTTACATGGATGCTATTACTGCCCTTTCCCCACAATACGCTCTGACACCTGCTTGCTATTCTTATCTGACTGTATTTGCATCTTAATAAATATCCAGTTAATTTTGCTTTTGCAAGGTACTTTGTTAATACTGATAAGGTAGTGGAATGTATGCTACCCTTCATCTCCCCTAATCTCTGTTGATCCAGCCTCCTTTTCTGTTTTTAGTGCCATTCTCTTTGTGAGTTCTATAATACCATCACCTGACATGAAGTATCAAAAATGTTACCAGAGGTAGAAAAGAAGGTTGAGCAAAAACAGGAGCATTAGAAATGAAATGGTATTTAAGAGATTTTTTTTCAGTTTGAAAAAAGTCCATACATTTTAAAAGCCAGTAAAATAGATATTTATTAGTCATTTTTTATTTACCAAAAGCCTTATTTGTGAAGTCATCACTTAATGCAAAGTCTAAATGAAACAAAGAAATCCTGGTATTTAAGAAACTGTTTCAAAGAGAGAGTGAGACACTCCTGGGATCAAGAATTTCCAAGTGGCTACAGTTGAGAGGACAAAACTTCCCTGGGGGATGTTTGAGAGTGACAGAGACAAAATTGTCTGGCTATGCCAAAAGAATGACAGGAGACATTAGATATGGGTTTAATCAATCTGCAACTTTATTATTAGATGTCTGTGACTCACCCAGCGGATAAAATGCGCAGTGCAGGTGAAAACCCCCACAATTCACTGCAGGGGTGGGGAGTGAGTACTTTTTTCAGCCCCCCGCCCTCCCTTTCTGATTATGTCCCTTCAGCACACCCACTGCCGGGACCCTCCAATTCTAGGTGGGGAGCTTCCACCAGCTCCCCCGCTTTTCATCCAGGTCCCTTCAGCAATCCCTTTGCGGGGACCTTACCAATTCCAGCCAATGGGGGGGGACGGGAGTGGAAAAGAGGAGGTCTTATGAACACAAACCCAGTAAACCTATACATAAAAAAATAGTGGCCATGTGAAGAAAACACTCAAATTAACTCAATCAAACTAGAGCCCCCCACTTATAAAGCCCGTTCAGAATTAAGATGAAGGTATTTTAACTTCATTTTTTGTAGGGTGATATTGAAGATCAAAGGAAAGATTATTGTATTTTGAAGGAGATTCAGTGAGGAAAATTTTGGAAAATGACATGGTTTGGAGGTCAGGGGAGGGAGAGGGGAACAAACCATTAAGAACACTGATTTGGGCCAGATTTTCTCTTTTTTAAACTTTTATAAAGACAAATAAACTTCATAGGCTCAAGACGCTCCAGAGCATAAATCTTCTATAGTGATAACATGCAATAACCATGCAATTATAATTAAAGGCATTTCAACGTTTATGTTCGCACATTAGATTAAACTTATTTTTAAAGCCATTACAATTTATGTATATATTTTCCCCTCATGGAATCACTGTAGGGCATAGTTTTGGTGACATAACGGTTTATTTCTTATTGTACCATACCTTAACTGTAACATCAGATGAATTCCTAGGTTATAATATTTACTTTTGGAATAATTACAACTGTTGTGCACATTTTTTTAACCTTTAAGTTACTGATACACCTTGCTCAACACCATCACTCCACCTTAACACTTTTTTGTTTAGGATTTTCTTTAATTTTTAAAAGCTATTATAAATTTCAAACACTGAACAAGAAACTCAAAAGAATTGTACTGATTCTAAAGATATGCAGTATCAAAATTAAAAAAAATAGATTACACTGTTAAAAATAGCCAGTTAACCAAATTCATCACTGGTTCACCAAAGCAATACATGCAGAGAGAGCACACTAGCCAATTAAATTTGGTTTATAGGTGCTTTGTATCGCCAGAGCAGTGCAAAGCTGCCAAACCATACAATAGAACCTAAGAATTTACAGGATATAAGGGAAAAGATAACTGTGAAACAGACATGCCCAGGCAGGTGTATTACCTGTTCTGGCCATCTTCTGAATATTTCACTGAAGGTGGTTGTATACAGTCTCCACCGAAAGCTAAGAATTAATTGATTGTCAAGTTTATTGAGAGATGTTAATAGTTTAAGATATATTGAATGTAAAAAGTTAGGCTGCAAAACTGTTGAAGTGAGACATGTCACCTGAAGTGAAGTGGGGTCTCAGGGTTAGCAATCAACATTAGAATAATTGACATCTGTAGAGCCAGCACTTTGTTTACTGTCTGGATCAGGTGCACGCTTGAGCACTGACAAAGACAAATTAATCCAAGGGAGTTCTCTGAAGAAGGGAAACCTGGGCTAAAAGACAATAGCTTGTAACTGTAAGAGCAGAAGAAATGGCCCAAGTTGTTATCTGTTAGAAAGGAGAGAGTCTGCCAGTGGGGTGGTCTCATGAAAAGTAGATCCCAGCTTTCTGAACTGGACAAGCGCTGTAAGGATTGACCACTGAGTGAGAAATATCTTATTAGACAGGAAAGTAAGCTGTTAGCAAGTATAGGTCATAGTTTGTGTTTTATTTTATTTTTTTACCTCTAATCTTATGTTTCCAAGCCACTGTACCTTGCTTGCTTTTATTACAATCTGTATCTCAACTTCTGTTATTAAAGTTCAGTGTAGTTTTACCATAACATCTGAAAGTCTGTATCCTTATATTTATCCTTGTACAAAACTATTAAAGGATTTGGTACAAAGTATGCCTTGTGAGTTATTTGAAAACCTAATGTGATCATTATTGTCCTGTAAAATGTGTGGCAACACTGTAGATAAAGATTCTACTGTATATCATTACTGAGGCATTCCAAGTTTAGAAAAGAAGGCACAAACTAGTTCCTCAAAGAAAAAAGGCAAACAGACATCTCAGCCAGGTGTCAACAAAATCAAATGGACTATCACCTGGTTAAGCCGCCATTCTTTGGCAGAAAAAAGCTTGTGAGCAAGAAATATACATCTTGGCAAAGAAACAGCTGGAAGTTTCCATCCCACAGACTGTCTCCTCAACCCCAGGTGGAGATGATTCTCAAAGAGGATGAAAAGATATAAAAATGGGTAAGAGATGCCCCAAATGATCTCTCCCTTCATCTCTACTCATGAAATCAACACCGCCTGAAGGACAAGGAAATCAACATTGAACTCGGGGAGCGGTCCGGCTGAAACCTTTGCTTTGAATTAATTTAGCTTGTTAAGTTCAGTATTAGATGCA